ACACACCAGAATCCACCACAGCTTTCTTTTAAGAAGAAAAAAGTCACTAAAAAACAGGAGTTTGAAAGGAAATACTGTCCAATATGAAAAAAAGGGCAGAGGTGCCGTGATGGACTCACACACCACCCATCCCTCTACAGAGCTTCATCAAAGCCCTGGTGACATGAGACAGAATGACCTGAAGACATGAGACAGAGCAAGATGGGGAAAGGGGAGGGGAGGGGGGGGGTGTTTAACCCTTTCTTTGCAACTGAATTTGGTGGCAGCTCGCTGCCACCACAGAGAGATGTGCCCAGTGTGGTGCAGGTGTCACTGCTCAAGCCAAACCCCCGCTGTCAGGGGGATGCGACTCAAACCTGTGCTGTGGATATTTCCCCGCCGGCCTCACGCCCTTGCTGGTAAGCGGCTCATGCTCCTCCCATCGCCATTCCCGCTGTGCCACCCACATCCCTGCAGTGCTGCCATGACTGCCCCACAGGGTTTAATGCTCTTGTAGCCCCACACCAACCCCAGCCACACCCACGCTCCCGTGCATGACCCCATCCCCTCGGTCCCTTGCCATCTTCTCCCTTCTTTCAGCCTCGGGAAGCATCATCCCTTGCTAGGTTTCCATCCCCTCGCTCCCTTCCCCACACCTTTACACCTCTCCTCTGGTACATCCTGCGCGGGTGTCCCTGGCAGGCAGGCATGGAACTGCAGCGTTCCCCAGCCATTCCTGCCCATCTGCACTCCCAACCCCTCATGCGGCACTGGGCTCCATCTGCCAAACTCCTAACCTTTGAATCGGAGCCTCCTCCTGTCCTGCACTACCGCAGGGCTGAGTAGGAGAGGATTTTACATCCAGATGGGACCATCTGCTTCCCCAAGCCCAGGTGTATAACGAACCTGGGGAGCCCACAAGCAGCACAGCCCCTCCTGCCAGCCTATGCCAGGATGTCTGTAAAGCTGAGCACACAGCCTGACTCCTGTAGCTCGATTAAAAAATCATGTATTTGCAACTTTTTTTTTTTAAATCCTTGTATTTCCACCCAAACTGCAGCTGTAATCCAGCAGTTTAGCTGCAGCATGACAAGTCACCAGCAGCCTGTGTGTGTGATTTCGGTGAGCCACAATTTAAACTCATTCCAGCAGGCTGCAGTGGGAGGAAGGCAATGATCTCAGGGCAGGTAGCAGCAGGGAAACCTCGGAGCAGTCGCCACCTGCGTGCGGTCAGAGCACTGTCACCATCTGCCCCAGCTGCAGGGAGGGGAGCAGTGCCAGCCCTGCCCGCGCAGCTGGGCTCCAGCTGGGCTGGGGGGGAGGGATGCTCCAGCCCATGGCCTGAAGGGTCTCAGCATTCCCGGGTTTCATCAGCACCCTCATCGTTTTCCTTCACTGGCAGGCAACCAGCCTCCGTCCCCCCCAGCAGGTCCCGGCGTTTTTTGGGGTCTCTGTCTCCAGCAAAGCCCCCGTGCTCAGGGTACATTATCTGACATCCTCCCATCATCTGACATCCCCTCAGTCCGGGGGCTACGCCTCCCTCCCCCAGCTCTTCACCGCAATCCCCACCATTTTCCACCATCATTTAAGTTTCTGAAGTAATTTCTTTTTTCTTTTTTTTTTTGTCCTTTAAAAAAAAAAAAAACAAAAAAAAAAAAAAAAAAAGCAAACCATCTACCATATGTTCTCCCCTGAAAGGGGCAATTGTTAACAGATCATTAAAACACCGTGGCGAGTGCTCTGAGATTCCTTCCCTCAGTCTTACGCTTTATCCCGTCTCTGTCACCCTTTCAATGCGGCTTTGAGGGCTCTGCTTTTCTAACTTCCTTCTCGGGGGGGGGGGGGGGGAAGAAGAGAGAAAGAGCCACTAAAATGACCCTCTTCACAGCTCTCCTCCTTGCTTTTCAATGTCCTTTGCGACACCCAACTATAATTGGGGTGGGGGGCTGGCGTGCCGCTGCTGCTGTCACCGGGCTGGGGGTGGCAGGGCCACATCCTGCCCCGTTCCCAGGGTGCCAGGGCTGGGATAGCAGGATGAGGGGTGACAGGGGTGCTGCAGGCAACCTCTCCTTCCACTGCTGGGCAAGGGGACTACTTGTCTTGGGAGGCTCAAACAGCACATCCCAGCCAGCCTGGTGCTGTCCCTGTTCCGGGGATGGGGCTGGGGAGTGACCCCATGGCACACAAGTGTGCGGACACAGAAAGCATCCCTAGAGATCTCATTCCTAGAGGCCTCATTCCCCAGAGACCTCATCCCTAGAGACCCCATCTGTAGAGACCTCATCCCCTAGAGACCTCATTCCCTAGAAATTTCATTCCCCAAAGACCTCATCCCTAGAGACCTCATCCCCAGAGACCTCAACCCCTAGAGACTTCATCCCCTAGAGACCTCATTCCTAGAGATTTCATTCCCCAGAGACGTCATCCGTAGAGACCCCATCCATAGAGACCTCATCCCCTAGAGATTCCCCAGAGACCTCATCCCCTGAGACCTCGTTCCCTTGGGTGCCTCAGGTGCTTTCAGCAGCACAGATAAATTTTGTATGGAAATAAGCTAGCAGCTGGCTGAGAAGTGAGCTAAGCCCAGAGATGGAGTGTGGATATTTCACCTGCCTTTCCTGGAGAACTAACACTCTTTTAGGAAATACCAAATGATGGGAAGCTGGAGACCACTTCTGCTTGAGCAGCAGCCTTGGGTTGAGGGACACTTCCTGCAGGCTCTGTACTCCTGTGATCAGGAGGGACAAGGCTTTCAGAACTCACCCAGAGGTTCCTTACCTCCATCTTCTCCCCTTCCACCATGGATTCAGCCATTTCTGCAGAGGACCATGTTTCCCAGCTCATCCAGCCAAGCTCCAGGCACAGTTTGCACCTCTGCTCCACCTTTCCCAGCAACCAGGCCCTGAGAATTTGCACTTCCCCATCCCAGCAAAGGATTGTGCTGCATGGGACCTGAGGGAGCACAACACCCCTTCTGGGAAAGAGAGGGAGAGGCAGCTGCCCCAGTCAGCAAAACCCAGTTATGTTTGTAAAAACCACAGAAACTTCCAAGCCCTGCACACAGACTTCTCCAAGAGCCAATATTCCCCAGCAGCTCAGCTTTGCCAGGGCCTGCAAGTAGCTCCAGGGACCTCAGAGGGCTCCATTGCCCCTGGTTCTTGCCCTCCAGCCAGCAGGTTTTCCCCAGCACCCTCCAAACCCTCAGGCTGCTGTGTTTATTTTAACCCAGGAAGGTGCAGCCTCAAGCTAGAGGAGGCAGCACTGCTCTGCTTTGCTCCAGCATCCTGGGAACAGAAGCCAGGAGCTCCTTGTGCTTCCCCAGGCAAAACTCCCCATCCCAGAACGCTGCTGCTGAATCTCCAAGCAGGGCTGAGCACTGTGGTGGGGTTGGGATCAGAAAAGCAGTCCCCAGTGCCCAGGAGGATGAGGTGGCTTTGTCCTGCTGTGCACATCCCAGGCAGGTCCGCTCCCCTCTTCTCCCTTCCAGCACAGCAGCTTTCAGCTCTTCATCGAGGGCAAAACTTCCTACTGAAAAAAAAAAAAAAAGGTACCTCCTGCAAAGGAGGAGGTTGGAATTGCTGGGGACTCCCACTTTCCTGGGGGCATTTTACAGCTGCCTTTGCCGAGGGCTCTGAGCGCTGCTGCAGGGCAGTTTTATCCCTTCGAGCTGCAGGGACACTTCAGGCCAGGAGCTGAACCCAAACCCAAGCAGCTCCTCCATCCCCAGCGCAAACCCAGCTGGAGCTGTGGCAGTTTCAAGCAGCCCCGCAGTTTTGACAAACAAACAGCAGCACTGCTCTCCCAGCACAGAGGAATATGCTGCCCTCTCCCCGTTCCCCAGCAGGCACAGGCATTAAAGGAGGATGCAAACCCAAAGCAGCTTCTGTGCCACTGGTGCTCCTGGTGGAGATGATTTCCCTGGCCCAGCACAGCTCACAGGGTCCCAGCAAGTGGCAGCACCTGCCCTCTGCAGTTCAACACTCACCACGTTATTTCAATTCCTGAACCACACAAGAACCTTTCAATCATCAGCTGGCGCAGAAAAGTCACCAACGCCGGGAAGCCCTCGAGAAGAAAAGAGCTTCAGGAGCACAAATCTACAAGCCAACTTTTAGCTAAATAGTTTTTACATCTTAAATACCAATATTTTTCCCCATCAGGGGGAAATCAGCTCATCCCACCGCCGAGGAATGAAGGTGAAGTTGTCAGCAGCAGCTGTATCCTGAACAGATGACAATCCCTGCAGAGGAAGGGATTCCTCTCGAAGGATTTCCTTGGAAGCTGTGCCTGCACAAAGGAGCTTCTCGAAGCAGAGCAGGGGAAAGGGCCACTGAACAAACCCTGTTGCCGTGTGGATGCAGGGATTTCATTCCCGGCGAGCAGGGATTCAATGCGTGCCCTGCGGTACCCGTGCCACCAGAGGGAGATCTGCTCGGCATTTCCCCTCCGGACCCTGCTAATTAAAGATTTCTATTGATTTATTTATTACTTTTAGATCCCCTGCACGGTGCTCCAGCCGGGCACCCAGCTCACCCAGGTGCTGTGCCACGTCTGTGCCTCTGTGACCTCACGGAACAGAGAGGTAAATCTCTTTTCCTGAACCCTGATGGAAAGCAGGACCACAAGGAGCATGAACTACTGGCAGCTCACAGCTGTCAGAGTGCTTTAAAATTTCACACACAGAATAATCCATAGTTCTGGGATTTTGGGGAGCTGTCTCAGGCTTTCAAGAAGCAGCCAAGGAGCATTTTCTTAAATCATGTTAAGGACGCATCTGTGAGCAGCAGCCACAGCTGGGCTGCTCCTGCCAGGAGGACAGGGATTAAATTAGATCAGCGTTCTTCACCCATCTGAAGACAATTTTCTCATCAGCTCTCTGGAGAAGGCAGCTGAGCAGAGAATTGCTGCATGTCTCTCCTCCAGCCACCTCCCAAAAGGCATCATCCCTCCCTCCAGTCACCATGGCCTGTGAAACCAAGAGTTAATTTCCTCAGATCCTAAGGAATGGGAAGGGTCAGTAGTTTCTGAATCAATAATTTATTAAACAAAATCACACAGGGTTTACTTTGTGACACCATTCAAACACTGTGAATCACACTGGGGATGGCTGAAAATTCAGTACAGCCTACAAATTTTCTTCATAAGGGATAATTGCTCTCTTGTATCCCAAAATACTCTCCCCATTTCATTTAAACCACCTGAAGTTTAACCACACTTGTGCCACCTCCTGGTTTCTGGGCTATCTCATATTTCACACCACCCCCACATTTACCAAAAACAAAATCAATTTATTAAAAAAAAATCAATTTACTTTTGTCATCAAAGGAGAACTACCTTTGTCATTCCCACCTTCCCAGCCCAGTCCCTGCTACAAACCAACTCCAGCCTCAATTTTCCCATCCTTCCCCTGCAGTCAGCTCCATCCTCCCTCTCCTTGCACACAAACCCACTCCTAAAACACACCTTGCTTCTTAACTTACCAGAACGCATTATTCAAGACAGAGACCAGGAGAATTGGGGTGAAAAGGAGCAATTAAACATTGAGCAGTGCAGGGCCCAACGCTAGAGCGTGCTGTGGACCTCCCACTGCCCCTGCTGGACTGGCATCTCTGTCCCTAGAAACCACCAGCAACACCCAAGAACTGGATGAGTCTTTTTTGGCTCCTGGAAACACACAAAGTTTGCTAAGAAATTCTTGGTGAAGGCAGAGAGTTAAGCAGCAGAAAATGTCCAGGACAAGAATTTTTTTTTTTTTTAAAAAACAACAACAAAAAGCAGCAAGGAGAGAATAATATCAGATGTTGTCCTGTTTTTCTTAGTGGAGTGTTTGGAAGAGATTTATATTCAGGATATAAACCTGCTTTATTCTCATCCTGACTTTGGTTTAATTGAGATATTAATGATAATTAGGTTTTTGCCTGCGTTTTGCCTGCAGGCCTGTCTGGGGCTGGAGAGACTGCACAGAAATGCTCAGGAACACCAACAAAAACCCCAGAGCTCGTGGTGGACTAAGAGAAGCAATGGATGTTCAGTGACTCTCCAAAACCACAGCCAGAATCACAGCTCCTGCTACTTCTACCTTTTCATTCAGCATTTGAGGGACAGGCTTAACTTACATAAGACAATAAAAATAATTTAAAACAAAACCCATGTATTTTTGGTTTTTTTTTTAAGAAAAAAACAACTCATTGGTTTTATTTCGACAATAAATTTTAGAAACACCTTGACATACAGAACTCCAAAAAAATATAAAGTCATAAATCACCTAGTTAATTTACGAAAGGGGAAAAATACAGTACATCCAAGACTCAAACATCCTGTAAGTTCATACAAAAGCCACACAGTAATAAACTGCGTTAAAAAATAGATCAAGCATTACCTGACTGATTTGACACTGGCATTTGCCCCGTTATTGAAAGGCACAGAAGACTGAGCATCACATCCATTATTGTCAGTAAATTCACCATGATTAGCATAAAACCCCACTGTTAAACACAGGTTTCATATTCACCGTGTGGATCAGTAAGAAATCTCGCTGGAAGGAGTAAGAAAATACAGCTGGAGAAGCACAAACACTTAAATACCACATCCAGAGACGCAAAGACACTTCCTAGGAATCCAGTTCAGATCTTCTCCAGTTTTTTGGTTGTGTTATCTCCCAGCAATCACCCAGGAGCAATTTATTGTCCCAAGCCCCGCACGGGGCCACTCCGGTGCGTCCTGGCTCGCACCCACCGCCGGCTGCTGGCTGCTCCAGCACCCCCAGAGTCTGCAGCAGCCCCGGAGCAGCCGGGATTGCCTGGCCTGGCAGGTTTTGGGCTCCCGGCTCAGCCCGGGTAGCACATGCAGCAGCCGGCCGCGGAGAAGTCGGGCTCAGCCCCGCGGCGCGCGTCCCCGAAGAGGCTCTGGCCCAGCTTGTGCTCCGAGATGATGTCCTCCACCCGGGTCACGTACAGCAGCGTCAGCAGCACGCCCAGGAACTGCCAAGGCAACAGGCAAGGGCATTCCCAGGCAGGCGGCACAGGCAGCCTGCCCCACCGGAGCTCCGGGAAGTCACAGAGGTCACGGATAGGGGAGGACTCAAAAATAAACCCCAAGCGAAAGGGAATTGCCCCAGCAAACCCTGCACCAGTGATGCTACTAAAGAATGCCACCCCGGCTTACCAGTTACATTAAACCCAAAAAGAAAACCATGATGATGGTCCAGTGGGATTTCACATACTGGCAAATGAGGTGTTTGATTCAAATGCCACCTCAGCATACCAGTTACATTAAATTTGGAAAGAAAACCATGATGATGGTCCAATGGGATTTCACATCCCACCAAACCAGATGTTCCCCCTCACAGTGAACACTCTCTTACCTGGGGCAGCAGTATGCCAAGCAGCACACCAGCCATGATGCTGTAGTTGTCCAAAAACCAAATGAGCACAGCATTGGTGCACCCTCGGACGTAGATAATGTGCTGAATGCTCAAGCGCTGCAAAATAGCACAGGAAGGGTTCAACAGGCAGCTCCACTGCTGTGAGACACACGTGGCAACTCAAAACTCAGGGAGGCAGATGTGGTTTGCCTTCCCACCTCTTTAAACCCACTGAGTTTAACATCAGTAGCTCTTCCGTCTCTTGTTGAGCTGCTCCACACCTCAACAAATTACTCCGTTTTTAAAAAGTTATTCTACACCCGAGTAAGTTATTTCATTGTCTTAAACCTGTTTGTTACAGCTATTTCTCAACATGAAATGCACTCCATTCTCATTTAAGACCACTTGGAAAGCAGAGAAGTCTCTCTTTAGCTTTCATCTCTTCTCCCAAGCTGAAAATACAGCAGTGGAAAAACATAAATTGTGGTCCAAGTGCTTTGCAAAAAGACCCTAGAAAGGACAGGAACAAGAGGATTTCAGATTCAGTCCTGCAAGCTGTGCTGCTCCCTGACCCCAACCCATAATATAAAAGCACTTGAGGCTGCAGAGGGTCCTGAGCAGATGAATGGGGTGAAGTTCAGCATAAGCTGAAGTGCTCGGTGTCAGAGCCTGGCTGCAGCGTTCAGGTGATTAAGCCACAAATCAATGAACCTGAATGGAGACAAGCTGTATTTAAAGATAACCGGTAATCCCAAAAACCAACAACCCAGGCTGGCATTGTGCTCCAAGTGCCTCAAATGAGCCGGGGAGAGGAGCTTTTCCAGACCAGCCCCCCGCCCTGCCTCCTCCCAGCACTCCAAAGCCAGGAGTGGAAAACTCAGGGCAGATCCAATTACCGATTCCCCTTCTTCATCACTCTGCAATTGCTGCCTTGAGCTGGCAGTCTCTCCTCTGGAGTCACTGGGGCTGTTCCCAAAAGGGAAGGCTGAAGGAGGAGGCCCCATCCCACTCCTGGAGGGAGGAGAAGGCAGCCAACACAACCAGGGAAGTCCCACTGCTCCTCCAGCTGTGCTACCACAGGCTTAAAAATAAAACACCCACTCCTGGGATATAAAATACTTAAAAACAGCTAAGGTGGCTTTCATCAATGCCAATTTTACTAAGTGAGAAACTTTGGCTTTTGCGTACTAAAAGCTTTCCCCAACTCAAGTCACTGCTTCAAATTTTGAAAGCAGCTTTTTGTGCGTTAGTTGTGCAATTAGCACGGGGGAGTTGTCAACAAACAAGGAATCGAAGGAAATGAAAAGAAGGGAAGATACAGAAATCAAACAAGATGAGTTTTTTCTCATATAAGGAAATTATTCCAGGAAAAAACAACCATTTTAATTGCCAATTTAACTGCCTGGCAGATTAAAGCACACAGAAAACACTTTTATAACAGAGACAAAAAAGAAGCAGCACCCTCTGCCATGCCAGGGTGGGCATTGGCTACGTTACCTCTTGGTCAATGGTTTTGTATCCACACATAGTGTTGATAATGTCTGTCTGAAAAGAAAACAACAAATTTGGAAACTAAAATCAGGAGATTTGGAAACTAAAATCACAGAAATATTATTTTCACTCTGTGCTCACCCAGCTCATATAAAAGCAATGACAGGGTTATTTCCCAGTCCAACACCAGTTTATCCCAGCAGCCCCAGTGTCAGATTTAGTTAGAGCTCCACATGATTTTAGAGCAATGAGTATTGCCAGTGTGTCACGAGACATTTGAGCCATTCCTATCCAGCAAAAGCAGGGTGGCAACAGCAACCAATGTGAGCTGTGACAGAGCTGTGGGACACAGCTGTTTCCACAGAATGAACAGCTGGATTTCCTTTTAAAGCCTTAATAACTTAACACACCTTATTACTAAAACCAGGGGTTAACATGGCCTTCGTGCCAAGATGATGACAAATTTAAGCTCAGAAATATCTTCAGTTTCAAACAACTTCCAATAATATAAATGCTGTTTACAACACTAAATTCATTACAATATTCATACAATACCATTATATACATGAATATAAAACTCATATATTCATAAGAGAGACTGAGTGCTTGCATTCACCACAGATTACTAACACATTTTCTGTAGCCGTGCAATGCCTTCTGTGGGTTCCAAGGTTCTACCTGGAAAGCCTGGAAAAGCCAACCTGAAAATGCTGACCTGAAAATCATGAAAATGAAAATCATCCAATGTAAAAACCCACTGGCATCAAAGGAGGCAGAAAACAAAGCCAAAGACATGAAGGAAAACGAGAAGTTTTTTTAAGCCCCCCCAAAAGCTGGGCTCTCACCTTGAGCACACAATTGCCTGACAAACAAGGCTCAGCACATTCCTAGAAGAAAAACCTTGGGCCATTCCACAGGGCTGTTGGGAAACTGTGTGGGGTACCCATCTGCCAACCACAGGTAATAAATCCACTTGGAAGTCAACACCAGTATGAGGCACCAGCGTGTTGTGTTGGCTGTGAGTGATTTCATGCTCCCAAAAAGGCTGAAGCCTGACTGCCTGACACGTGGTCACTCCCAAAATATGTGACCACAAGGAGGGCAGTCCCATCCTTTAACCTTAAGCACAGAATTTGCTAACAGGAGGTAGTGGCATAAGCAAATACACACAGGGGAGATAAATGCATTGGGAACAGAGGATTATAGGCATTTGGGGCTAATTTCTATCTGCTGCACTAGTGTAAGTCTTTAATAAATAACTGGACATGAACACAGTTCCTTCAGAGCCCCCCCAGTACGAGCTGGCTGGTGCTGGCTGAGGATCAGAATCCAGGCACCGACATTAGCTGGAGTTTTCCATGACTACAAAGCCAATGAGTAATCACAAACCATATCTGCAGCTTTCCAGGACAGAACCCAGCCTGTATTTGGAAGGATTTGTCAAACACAGTAAGATTGATGCATCTTCTGGCTGTTTTTTCCTGAGGCAGCCGTGCACAGCCCTGGGGCTGGCGCTCCTGTGCCGCACCACGCACGGCTCAGCTCCAGCATCTCCTGCTCAGAGCCACCAGCCCCCACCTCTGCAAGAGCCACACTCCCATCTGGGGCTTCTCCCTGCCCTTCTTTAACTTCCCTGAGCTTAACACTTCATGGGATACAAGCAGCCTAATCCTCCCTTCCCCAGCTGTCAGTGAATAATCTCGCTGTTTTTCCCTGGAGAAGTTTTTATTCCAGTGCTTTCCCTTTCCTGAAGGCAAAATCCTGAGTTGTTCTGCTCCATCCAGCTGCAGGTTCTTACTCTCAAACAGCTAAGCCTCAAAGCATGGCTGTTCAGCTTTGGTTTCTGAGAATAAATCAAAGCTCATCACAGGTTTAAACGGACCTATTCCCACAGGAAAAACGCGTGTGCACACGTAATAAACACCCTCCTGTGACACACATTTCTCAGCATCACCTAGCAGGATTACTGACACACCATTGCATCTATTTTCCTTTTTTTTTTTTTTTTTTTTAATTAAGCAGCCATGCTCAAGGCAGATGTGGGAAGGGCAGCCCCAACCAGGCAGCAGCAGGATATCCATCGTGAGCTCTGCTCTTACACACACCCAAAATCTTCATCTCATGGTCAGACTGGAGACCAAACCCCAGCAAGGCAGGGACTGCCTGTACTGGAGGAGTTGAGGAACAGTTCCTTACCAAATTCAGCATTACATGCATCCCTCAAATGAAGAGCAGTGCATTACAGAATTAATTAAAACACATTTGCATTTAAATCAATGCCTGCTCCCAGTGCTGTCAGCACCAGTGAGGACCAGTTCATCACAGACTCAGAAACTGGTTCAGACTCCAGTCCTTCCAGGATTTTACAGGCAGGTAGTTTTCAAGGATAGGTTGGGGCAGCCCTGTGCCCACAAGCATGCCCTCACCCTGAGGTCACATTTTTGGATTATTCTGGGGGTGACAAGGTCATTCTGTGTGGTTTTTAATTCACACAGCAGCTGCAGCACATCCCTCTGACCCCCCACCCACATAAACCATCATGTCCCAGGCTTCTTGGCAAAGCTGGACCAGCAAACCCTGGGGAAAACACCAGCAAACCTGAATTTTAATCAGCTCTGGTTGGGGCGAGCCACGAGATTAGTGGAGCTCCCAACATCCCTTCTGGGGCTGGGAAGTGGGGCAGTAAAATGGACCACAGCCAACACCCCTAATCCATTATTTCCTCCCTTTCACGATGTAAGGACCCACAGATCCATTGGGGAAGTAAAGGACCCATGTTCCTTCACTTCTTACCCCAGACTTCCCAAATCCAGGTTTCTGAGTGAGCCCAGTGATGCTGAGGTGCCAGGACTTACCTTGTTTCTGATGCAGCAAGTGTAGGGCACCCCACAAGCCAGAGGTCCTGGAGCTGCACAGTTGTGGTACACGTTCTGGGACCAATCTCTATAATCTTCTCCACCACAGCACTTGAACTGGAGAGGAAAAAAAATTAAAATAAAAAAGACACAAAACTCAATGATCTTTAAGTTCTTCTCCAACGTAAATGGTTCTATGACTCCAAAAGGAAAAGGAAATTTGTTCCTTAAACTCTTTGAATAAGTAGAAAACAAAGAAAGAATGAAACAATTTTAAAAGCTCTGAGCTACCAAAAAATTCTGTCATTTTATCAGCACGGCATGTAGGAATGTACATGATAAATACAATTAAAAAGAATTAAAGATAAAGGTAATACTCCTCTGTCACCCATTGAACTGTAAGCCAGGGTGCCAGAGCAAAGTACTCAGTGCCAAGTTCCACCTCCCATCTTTTCTGAGCTGAAAAATTATCTTTCCAGCTCTGGACATCATCACATTGACTCCACCCTGACCTGTAATCTACCTCTGCAGTTGCTTTAAGGGTTACAACCACATTTCCAACTGGATCTAAAAGACAAAAACGTTGCTCTAAGGCATAAATAAATCTCACCAAAACACTGTGGGTGTAATATAGAAGAACTGAAAGCTGGCAAACAAATACTCTAAGTTTACACTGACTTAATATAAATATTCCCTTTATAATTTAAACGAAGGGGAAAGGAGGAGCTCATTTAATCCCTAACGTGTACGTAGCCAGAATTTTGGGCAGTGCATGGAAAATTTAAAGCATTATGAAGTCTAATGACAGAATTTCCTCAGGATGGTCTGCTTCTGACAGACTTTCCATGCTAACTTTGTTTTTCAAAGCAGGCTGCCATCTCCATAACGATGTCCTAGAATATATGGATCACTTCCTAAATCCATTTTTTTAATAACCATTACTTGGCATGGTCACAGACATCACAGGGACCCTGACATCACATTGCTGAACACTTTTTGCTTCTTCTACAGCCTCTGAGCTGTATGGCAGAACTCTTCAATAACCCAATAAACATTTCAACAGATCAGCCTTACGAAAAAAAAAAAAAATTAAAAAAGGCTGTGAGTCAACTCCACATGCCATTAAGTAATGCCCAGCTGGGCTCACCACAGTTTCTGAATTTTAATTACAGGTAGATACTCTTCCAGTGCTATTTCCCTCCAACAACCACCTTGTTAAAGAGCTCTGTGCATGCCCTGCAGCAGCCACACCAGGGCCCAGGCTGTGGCAGCCCAAATGCCACCTCATTTCTCTTTATCCAATGCCTCCTGCTAACAAGATGCTTCTCAACCTCCTGCACCAGCCAGCAGAAGCACTGAGTGCCAGGCCATGGCTGGAATTCAGGCTGAATTCATCTCAGTCCAGCTGTGGGGCCACTACAAACACACAGGTTTGGGGGATCTGACCTCGAGCATTTGAATTGCACCTGCCAAGGCAAAAGCTGCATTTTGGCCCTCTCTTTCTGCAGTGATGGAAGAGGGTTTTAAATGCCAGCTGGAGTGCTGGATGAGCCCTGACCTCAGCAGCAACACCATAAGAGATGACACACAAGATCCCATCCCCCCCAACTTGATTGTCACTCCACTGGAAAAACTCAAAGCTGTTGCTGAGTTAGTCCAAGGGAAAAAAAAACCAAACCAACAAACCTGCTTTTGAACAGAATCCATGATGTTCTTGAAGTCTAAATCATCATAGTAATTCTCAATTCCTCTTCTAATGTTATCATTCAAAAATTTGATTGTCTAGAAAGCAGAAGGAAAAGAAATTGATGGGCTGCACAATGGGCACATGGGCTGGAACAGAATTAGAAGAGCAGGTTAAAGTGACAAGTGTAACTGATGAGCACAAAGGAAAAGCCTTTTATTCCTTTTTTTTTTTTTAAAGAAAAAAACCAAAACACTCATTACAAATTTCAGCACAGCCCTGCAGGGACCAACCATCTGTTCTCCTCCAGGGAAGCAGCCTCTCTGCTGGCTTTGGGCCGGCAAGTTCCAGCAGTGAGACACCTCTCACTGCTGAGACCCTCCCAGCATCTCCCAGAGACGGTCCCATCAGCCCTGGGACATGGATACCCCAGGATCCCTGTCCCTGGGGACCCTCACACCTTCTGGATGACGGAGCAGTGGGGCTGGGTGCTGGATTTTGGCACCGCGGTCTGCACCACGCCCCGAGCAAAACGACCTGACTGCGTCACCACCGTCCAGGAATTTTATTTTCCACGCATTTTCCATTAATTTGATTTTCCAAAGAGTCCATAATTGCCAGATAGAGAGCTTTACTCCACATGGAGTGGAAAAAAAGGTGTGTTTGTATGTTTTACAGTGGTTGTTTTGAGAAATATGGCAGTGTGGCGACAGCAGAAATAAAATGGTGTCTCCTCAGCATGGCATACTAAAATTAAATCAACAAAGTCTTTTTAAAGTTCAGAAGATGAGAGAAAAGGAAAAAAAATAAAAGAGTATTTAGTGTTCAAGATCCAGCACAATCTCAGCACAGCAAACAGCAAAACCAGGGACTAATCACTACCAGAATGTAACAACTTTCCTTTCAATCCAGCTGCTGAAATGGACACAGTTAAAGCCTTGCAGGTCAGAAAACCTGAAATACACCCACTCATCTTCTCAGTATTACAAACTGCAACACCCAAAACTAACCAGAACAGAAAGGATTATCATATCAGTGATGAGAAATAATACAGAACCCTCCTAACTGGTCCAACCTCATTTAGACTCTACAAATTTTAAAAGGAAGTAGAGAAAGAAATGGGGAAAATGCACATCACATGCAAAACAAACAGGCCTGAAAGAGAGGCTACTACACTAAACTTCCATAAATACATTCTTGTTCTCCCCATACCAACCCAAACTTCTCCACTAACCTTGAAAAACAAGGGAAGAAAGCTGTCCCTAAGTGTAGCTGTCCTGCTATAAATCAAAGCATAGGCATCTAGTACTTGCCATAGTGAACACATTTATGTTTTAAAGCATTTCTAACTGAATAAAATAGTCTGCTGCTTTCTGTGCAGAAAAATCAAGGGTTTAATACAGTTATAGGATGCTTGTCAATGATGGAGTCTCCTGCATAAATTTATTCTGTTGCTTATGGATGCGGGCAGGGAAGAGCTGTCCTTTAACTGAGGCAAAACATTTGGGCCATTAAAAAACAACAGCCTCCAAATCCGTCTGGAAACGTCCCAAATCAGCAGTCAGACCCAGATGGCAAAACAGAAGAAAGCATTTTGTCATCCACCAAGAGCTGGAGACTCATTTTGCCTGCATTGCACATTTGTAGCCACCAGATTTCCTCCGAGCTCCTTAACCTGGAATTCACCTCCAGAACAGCAGCAGGGCTGAGCCCTGAAAAGCCTGGACATGTCCCCAGAGCTCTGTCAAGGAGTGCTCAGCTTGAGCAGCTGTCATTTAGCAGAGCTCAATGCTGCCAACACCTGAAGCGAGCAGCTCACCTGGTTCCTGAAGATCAGGGCCACCACTCCGCCCGTCAGCTCGATCAGCAGGCAGACACCAAGGATGTACATGAACTGCAGGGAAACAAGTGCAAGTGAGCCATTAGACACAGCTCCAATTACTCTTTCAATTAGCTCCTTTAAGGCTAGCATTCGATTGCCAATAGACTTGGCTTTCAGCATGGCATTTTAAAGGAAAACATGAAATTACGGAACTGTCAATGTCACGAGAAAGACTTTTTTCCTCACTTCAATTATTCTGGGTTTTGCCCAATTGGCAAGAACATTATTTTTTCTGCTCTGAACGGACTCAAAACCATTAGATGAAATTATCCTGCCGAGACACTCCTTTCCACACCAGCACCCCAGAGAAGCACACTGATGGGCTGCTGCAAACCACACCACACTTCAGGGTTTTATGCTTCCTACAAAGCCAGTACTTACCTGTTAGCTTTCCACAGCAAACCTTAAGACAATCCAAACCACCTTCTTCTACACTGCCAGTGCTAAATCAAAGCAAAATTCCAGGCTTAGTAGCTTTTAATGTGTTGCTTCCCACATTTACTTGCCTGTGTATATACACAAGTGCACTCACACACAACCACGTGTGCACCCACGACTGCCCAGCAAAGCCTGTGCAAAATGTGAAAAACATGAAAAAATCCATTGCACTGTGAGAGAGCTGCTGCATGCCACGACTTGAAATGTTTTTTCCAACCCTTCAGGCAAAAAAAGATGGGTGCTGAGTGAATTTAGGTCTGCTGTGTAACAACGAACTTCATCAGGAGTGAAGTTTTAACATCCCTTGTCTGAAAATAATCCCCTGAAAGCTGCTTTAACTTCTCAGTGTCAGGAATTCACCAGACAGGTATCTTTTCTCCTGCTAAATCTGGAATCAGCCTGGGAAGCTGGCATCAGGGACTTGCTTTGTTCCATACCCAGCTGGGTTTGCTACCAGGATGGGAACAGAAAATGCTCCTGGCATCTGACACACCACCACACTCAGGGAAGAAGCCTGAGGAGGGGCTCTCAGTGAAATTCCAGTATAACTTCAAAATCCGTGGTTATTTCTGGCCTTGCCCTCCACAACAAACCATGAGTTGAGCATTTTGTTAGACTGCACTGATGTGACAAGGCCAGGCTGGGCTGGGTTTTGAGCAGCCTGGTCTGGTGGAAGGTGAGCCTGCTCATGGCAAGGGGGTCAGACTAGGTGGCCTTTAAAAGGTCCCTTCCAGCCCAAACTCTGTGTGATCCTCTGCAGCTGGAAATGAAGTTTGCACACTTTAATTTTAATTAGTCACACATGCAGCTTCCACCTGCAACCACAGGAATTTCCCTAAAATTCACCTTTTCAGAGATGCTGGGGGCAACAGCTTTGTGCCTTTCATGTCACCCTCAGGGCCCTTCTGTCAAAGGCCTGAGCTCCAGGTCTGACTCTGAACACACATTTCTCCATCTCCCCTCTGCACTGCACTGCCCAGGGAGGACAGACAGACCCTGACCACTGAGCCAGGGCTGCTCCCTCTGGGCTGAAACCCAGCATCAAGCAGCACGTCAGCAGCTGAGTTTGCACAAGATACACGCTGGCTGATAATATCTCACATTCCTGCTTACTTTCCATAACACCTGAGCTGCTGGGAAGCTCCTTTTCCCAGCACTGGGCTCAGAGCCTCACTGGTCCTGTCACTGGCCAGACCCAATGCTGCAGCTCCCTGAGGGAGGGAGCCACTAAATTCAGATTTAAGCGAAACTTTTTAAAAAAGTAACCTCATTAAAATATTTTTCAGTGCAGATATGGTTCTGGATGTGAATTCAGAGGACAGTGGAAAGCAAAAGCAACAAGCCTTAGAAACTAGGAATAAAAATTCCAACACTTACTGCTTGCAGAAGGCATAAATTGTCTCTCAGAGAAGCCAGTACACCCACAAAGGATACCAGGAACATCACAATGCCCAAAAGTATTAAAATAATTGCTGGGGCTAGAAAGGCACTTTCTAGAGTTTTGTACTTCTGTCTTTCAATTTCTGCATAAATCCCAACGGCGAGGACAAGGGCTCCGATCACCTGGAAGAGAAACAGATGATTTAACACAAATAACATGTGATTGTTTCTGCCAGTAAACACAGAGATGACAGGCTGTGAGTACACAGGAACCCGTCCCTGCTCACTTCAGGATTCATTGTAAACAATGAAACATCCAAAGCAGAAGTCTGGATAAAACAAAAAATTAAAAAACCCTCAAAGACTAAAGCAGAAAAAGAGCTGAGTTGGAAAAAAAATGAAACTCCTTCACTTCAAAAATATATTTCATCATGTTTTAGCATTCTGGAAGTCAAACTCATCAAAATATACATCACTGGCTGAAATGTAATTTATTACCCATCTGAGATCACACACATTACATACATGAGCAACTGCCATGGCCCTCCTCTGTGTGTCTGTCTGTCCTTCTCTCTGTGTGTATAAACACAAAGAAATATATATGTGCCTCTAACACACCCCAGCTCCTGCAAACAGCCTATCTGTCCCTTCCTATCAACTGCTGCTGTTATTTGGGCTCAGTAAATACAGTCAGATAATTCCTATACCTCCACTCCTGCTGCCAGCAGGAGAAAGGCACCAGATTGAAAACTAAAAGAAAAAAACAAACAACCAAGCTTGAAATTATATCACTTCCTTCAGCAACTACCAGATAAAGCTGACAAGTGAAATAGGAACATATTTTATTTAAAGGTATTTCAATCAAAAGAATTAGTTAAGTCTAAGTCATTTGGAATTAAAACTGTGGTGTGCTGCAAATCACTTTGAATTATGCTGAATTAATTAAAATTAAAAATAGCCCACAATACTTAATTACAAAAATTGCAGCGGAAAAACTTTGCTGCCGACTCCAACAGCCAGACAGATCATCAGGGAAGAGACCAGACACAAATCAATCATTCTGGCAATCTGATACACAACACTCCCCTTTCCTGACCTGACATTTCCACAGGAAACACGAGTCTGCTCTCTGCACACCAGTGCTTCTGAATTACACTTCTTAATTTTTAATTTCACTTCTTAATTTTGGATATGACACAGAATATCCCAGACAAAGGGACACACAATGTGAGTTACGAGTTCATGAGCCAAACAGCTGAAATGCTTTTTTAATTATGGGATATCTTAAAATAAATAGCAACTTACTGGAAGTTCTTGATTTTCTATGGAAATGCATAATGACACCAAAGGACAATATGTAGGGAATGCCACCAGTTTGTCATTTAAAGAGAGAAAATTCTCAGAAGGGTTCACCCACAAAAAGGAAATACACTGAAGCTATTTAAAAAGCAACTTCAAATTTGAGCAAATTGAGAGCAGCCCCAAAAGCAGATTCTCCTGCAAACACTGAAGTGCCATTAACAGCAAGAACTCTTGCCTGGTAGATCCCTTGTTTAGAAAGTAAAAAAAAAAAACCAACCATAAACACTGGATGTAAACCACAGGTATTAAAGTTTTATAGGGATTATCAGAATTTCAGAAGAGTGTTGTTTCAACACTAGAACTTTTTACTGAAATCTTTTTTCTCGTCAAAGTTTTCTTATCAAAGCATTAAATTTCAGGGGGTTTTTGACTAAAAGGTGCCTGTAAGTAAAATACAAGACACTTCCTACTTTAAGAACTTAAGATACATAAATGCATATAGCATCTTCATATACACATATCTTCACCCCTTTCCACTTCCACTCGTGCTCCCACACCCTCCAAGATTTATGCTTTCATTATCTCCTATTTTCTTAAGCATTTAACAAAATTCTTTCCAACCTTTAACACGGTCAAACCAACAACATTTACTCCTGCAAGCAGATGTGCTAACCCAGCAGCCACGGCACAGGGGCTGTTTACATCCTGCATCCCCCACAACAGCTCCCAGCTTGGCAATTCCAGCTGTGCACACAGGAAAAATCAACTGCCCTGACTCACTGAGCATCCACCAGCAAATACCAGGGGATTTCTCTGGGGCTTTTACACAGAAGCTGCTTTCCCAAGAGAAAGGAGAAGAATTTATTTATTAGCAGAAGCTTTAACCCTGTACTTACCGTTCCTTCTCCTAAATAAAGTCAACAACAGCACCTTCTGTTTAAAATGCTGGATTTTGTTTCAGCTGGGCAAGAAAATTACATTCTAGCTCCATTCTCCTCAGGTTACATTACAGCCCCACTCACCTTTTCCAGGGGTGTCTGGAAAGTTACAGTGACAGCTAGTTTTTAAAACAGCCCTGGGTGACAGACCACAAGGCCTGTAGCAAATATCCCCCCCAGCACTCCCAGCAATGCTTTAATTTACTTTCTGCTTTGGAGAAGGCTGGTATTTAGTTCCTGAGGGTTTAAATCCATCCTGGGGACTCAAACCTGGGACTTCATCACTCAGAAGGCACCAGAGGAACTGCAAGAGCCGGGAGGGAAGCGAATGAACTCAGCATCCAGTGGGACAAAGCCCCAGACAGCAGCAGAACACCACGAACCACCCAACATTCAAGAAAGCCAAGCTTTGCTTCCATTTACACTGATTTAAAAAAACCCCAAACCACCAAACTCAGCAAGAAGAAGAGTGCTGAGAAGGGAACTGACATTCACAGCTGATGAGATCTGCTTGGCTAAGCTGCAACAAAAGAAAATCCCGCGGGCGAAGCCCACACGCCTGGCACAGCACCAGCCCTCCCAAAATCCCCTGCCATCCCCCCATCCTTCCTTCCCAAAACAACCTCCTGTCATCCCCCCATCCTTCCTTCCCAAAACAATCCCCTGCCATCCCCCATCCTGCTTTTCCCCCCCTCCCACAGCAAACCGTCTCCCCCGGCCAACAAATGGAAGCTCTCGTTTATAAACCAGGGCAGAGCATTGAAAATCCAGAGCGAGCAACTACAAAGAGTAAATAAAATCCTCAGGCTGCCTGAAAGAGGCTTTGTCCTGCCAGGATGGATTCAGAAGAGCCCTTTCTCTGCCCCCACAGGAATGTTTACATCCCACCAGCCAGGGCCCTCGCTGCCGACAGAAAACGCAGAGCACACAACGAGCGCGATCCTCTGCGAAGGACACGCTGCAAAAACGGGTCTGAAAAATAACACAGCAAATTCGATTCTCCCTTTTCCCAAACTCGCAGCTGCTGAATAGCTGTGGAGGGACACAGGGAGCATCAGGAGTCTAAACCCAAGGGTCGGTTTGTCTGCTAAGACAGACAAAAGATACCCGAGATCCTAAAAAGCCTGAATTACACCCAAACACTTTGCATGTCAGTCTTTGTTCATTAAATCACAGGGTGAATCTGACACTCACTATCAAACCCAGTGGATCTAAGCCTCTTCTCCCACGCAGCAAAGCAAAAGCCTTATGCTCCCAAGTGGTAAAAACCGTGTCAGACAAAAACAGACCAGCCAAACTAGAACCCAAGCAGCGTTTCAAGTGAAAAAGCCAGACAGAAAAATCCCTGCCTGAGCACCTCTGATATCAGCACCACCTGAAGCCAGCATCCTCTCAGTATCCCAGGACCCGAGAAAAGCACCTTTAAAAATCCCAGTGCTTACAAAGAGCACTTGCAAAGGGCCCTAAGGGCTGTTCCAGCCCGGGGGGTGCCCGCTGTGGATTTACCAGAACTCCGTGGTCATAGTCTGGACCCATCACCTGGGATGAGGAAAGCAAGATCCACCCACCTGTAACTCCAGAGCCCGGCAGCCTCACCCTGCGAGGCTCAGGACAGGACATACCCACCGTAACACACCGAGGAGCGACTCCGGAGGGCAAAGGCTCTGCACGCCCGCCTCCCCCGCTGCGTTTCGACCCGCACCTGAACGATCTTCACTCGCCAAACTTCCAACCCCCGCAAGTCCCCATCCGCCGAAACCAGTCTGGCAGTCCCTCGGCGAGGACGGCCCCGGGTGCGACACCCACGGCCGCGGGTGCGCCACCGCCACGCCAGCCGCGGGATCTCCCACCCACGGCAGCGGGACCCGCGCCCCCGCTCACCCAGAAGGTGGTGGAGTAGGTGATGAGGCTGAGCTTGAGGCACAGGTACGAGAGCCGCCCGCAGTAGCGCGCCTGCTCCGGGTCGCCCGCCGCCATCCTCCCGCGGCACCTGCCGCCCGCCGCGCCCTCCGCCCCTTCCCGGCCCCGACGGGCGGGCCCGGCCGCGCTTCCGGCACCGCGAGCGGCTCCGGGAGCGGCGCCGGGAGCGGCACCGACCGCGGAACGCGGGAGCGCCTGCAGAGCCGCGGCGTTCGTCTTCTCCTCTCTCTTTTTTTTCTTTTTTTTTTTTTTTTTTTTTTTTTTTTTTTATCCCCCCGGCACCCACGTCTTGGTTTTTTATTTTATTTGCTCTTGCAGTTGCTCGCTCTGGATTTTCAATGATTAGCCCCGCAGGGGAAATGGAGCTGGCTGCTCCAGCAGGAATCACGCATCCCCAGACGCCTCTGCCATCGCCATTGAAACAGCCGGGACAAAAATACGGCCGTGGGAAGCCGCTGCCTGGGCGCTCAGGGTTTTGGTGGAGCATCCATAAACTGGCAAAGCTGAATCCCTACACCCTTCACCGGCACGAGGAAGCGTTGCCGGGGCATTTCCCTCTGTCTGTGTCACCCTGGGATTGCACATGCGAGGAGGGTCGCGTCCTGCCGGTGGCAGCAGCCCTGGGCGTGTGGCACCGGCCACGCTCTGCCTGCGCCGAGCTGCTCCCGGTCCCGCCGCTGTGACGGAGCGTCCGTGATGGGTCTGACACGGCCATCATGAACTGCGAACGCCATTCGTGCCTCCGAGATGAAATAAGCCTTTTCAAGCCCGCAGTGCTGCACTCCTGTCCCACAAAGGGCTATTTTCCCCCGGGGGAAAAAAGTCTCATTCAAAGCGGCAGACAACTGTCACAGAGTCGGTTGTTTGGTCCTGGCCCGGAGCAGAGACAGATGGCATTGAAAATCAGTGTCTGGTGTCAGGGGAGATGAAGTGGGGTAGCATTTGTCCTTAAGTTACCTAGCAGAGAGACTGGAAAACCTCTGAGCTGCGTATGAGAACTGTGCAAACATTTCAGTCACACACCATTTCTTTAGGTCATACGATGCACCAAAGTCTCGTTTCTAAAGGCTAAAAAATATCCCTGGATAATTCTGTTATTAAAAGTACTATTGCTATCGCCTGCAGTGCTACTACTTTCTGCTTCTGGAAAACAATCCAGCCCAGGACGCTCCCGGCAACAGAACAGCTCTTCACCTCTAATGTTTCTGACAGAAATACAATGTCCCTAGAGCATTCATCCTCTAAAATATCAACAGCTTCAATTTTCAGAGAGATTTGCAAATATCCCTGACACTTAGCAATGGCATGCAGGCTGGAAATCCCATCACATGTAGTTGCTGGGAATTAGTGTCAGTCACGTAGTCTTCGTGTCTCAGGGGTGTCATTCACATCCAAGCATGTTCTTGTCCCTTAGGCATCTTCCTTGTTGAACTATTTAACTAAATTAATTGTTCTGGTTTGACTTTCTTACTACCTTACCTTGTCCTTTGTGCTGATTCCTGCACGTAAAATTTCGGGGCACATCCTGCTGGAAGCTGAGTAAAGGAGTGTCTGTTTTCCTGTTGTTTTCCCTCAGAACTGAGTCAATGTATCAAAACAGGTTCCTGTTTTGAAACCGCGCGACAATAATTGAAACTGCACGACAATAACTGGGCAATCCCTTTCTTTTCCTGAATCCCAGACTTTGTCTATACAAATGGCAAGATTTCTGGACACAAAAGTTATGAGTTGATGAGCCAAACATTGTAGTTTGGCAGCAAATGGTGGTTAAAGTAAGATGTTGTGAAGTGCCTAAGGGTCACAAAGGATTGTGCTCTCTCCCCCTGAGCCCAGTGCAGCTTTCCAGCAAAGAGCCTGGCAGATTGTTCATTACAGCATCTGCTCCTGGCACCATCCAACAGCACAACTAGCAGTGGTTTTGTTCTTATTAAGGATCAGTAACTTCCACATTTCCTTACTCATCGCCAGGGGTTGTCCTAAAGACACCAAGAGCCGTGGACTGCAGAGCATTTGCCCCAGGGCTTTAGGAGCCCTGCAAAAAGAAGTGAACTACAGCTAGCCCTGCACCAAACCATGTCAGAAAGACCCAAAGCTTTCCAGTGCTACCAGAGGCAGTTTTGCTGCTTCCTTCCAGCCCAGGTCTGGCTGAGGAAGCTGCAGGCCAGCTGCACTTTGCCCCACCCAGGGGGATGCTCGTGGTCCTCATGCCCTGCTCTCAGAGCTGCTCCCTAGACAAAGGTTCTTCCTCCAAAAGCAGAGTCCAACTTGCAACACAATTAAAGCCTCTACTGCCTGTATTACTTTGTATTATGTTTCCAAAGCACAAAACATCCCTCAATCGTCCTTCCTGACCTTGCAGACCCACATCTTTTGTTTGCATCTCACCCTTTGCTCAGACCTGAGATTGGTGATTCAGCACAGTAACGTTTGGCCTTGACAATCCTGCCCATAATAAAAACAACAGTGAAACCAGCCAAACCCAAACCCCCTGCTCTCAGGTAGTCCCTTTCTCTGGTGTAACTCCAAAACCACTGGTGAGGCAGGTTTTACCCACCGTCTCAGGCAAATGTGACTTCCCTGAGGAACCTGGAGCCAGCCTGTGTCAAAAATTGCTCCAGTTTTCAAGTCAAAAGGCTGATAGCACACACTAAATCGCTGGCCAGGCTCCAGGATGATAACCTTGTCAATGCACAACCAGAAAGGAATAAAAGGAGTGGGTGTGGATACAGGAAGGCAAATCCCTCCTGACTCGTACGATGAAATGTTGACCAAAGGGTGGCTGCTCTTCGATTATCACCTGAGCAACAGATCAGGGACTGGGGCAGATGGTTCACAAGGAGGTTCCTAAGAAACCTGAGCACCCTGAATGTCTTCCAAGTCAGCCGAGAGAGGTTACAGCTTCCCCACTGAAGGGTCAATTAAGTGCAGCCCTTTTTCTAAGCACATGCTCCCATTCTACTTTCTGCAAGCGATAAAGCACTTTAGGGCACTCCCAGTGAAATGTGTGGAGGGTTTTGCTCCTATTCTCCTTCAAATTTGCAGGGATTTCAGACAGCACATTAAAAATTTTTTTGAAGAACACTATTAGCTGTTGAATTGGTATTGCAAGTCACGAACAGCCCTCCTGAACTGTGTACAAAAAGTGGAAGGTCCCTAAGCTATTTAATGAGGTGTAAGACTTTGAAGAAGCACCTGGAAGAGCTTTGAATGCACTCTGGAAGATGTGTACAAGTGCACCTTTTCAGTTTGTGGGTAGGGAAGTGAGAGGGATTACCTGCAGGGAAGAGGAGGGGACTTTACATGCAGGGCTACAGGTGTTGATTTCTTTAGAAGCAACACCTGGGCAATATTGCAACAGAGAAAACCTGCTTGAAAGAGTTGCTTAGGTGATGGGTTAACTCAAGGCTGCCTCCAGAAATTAATGAAGCAAGGAAAGATTCCAGGCTGAGCTGGTGCAAAGGATCCTGAGCTGATAAACACTGCCCTGTTACAGGAGAGCCTGGCACCAGCTGCAGGAGCTGGAAAACTGCTGCCATGCCAGCACTACAGGCACTGTGAATCCTGAAGGCAGCTTTTCATACCTGAAACCCCTTCAGCTCCCAGCTGAGCAGGCATGAGTGAGTGCCAAGCACTCTTGGATGTCTCAGCCTCTGAGTGTCACTCCTGCTTTGCTTTAAGCTGACGGCGAGCAGGAGCGCTGTGCTCCGAGCAGCGTCAGGGCTTCCTCTTTCCTACAAGAACCCAAAATTTCTGCGTGCATGAGGTCACCAGGTTCCCACAGCACACCCTGGGAAAGGGGATGCAGCCATCCAAAAGGAAGGATCTTACTGAATTGCATCAAATACAGTTTCTCTCTTGCTGTGAGAGCTCACGGGAAGTCAGGCAGGGTCCTGGAAACTTGAGGATTGCAGGACTGGTAAACCTGGAGAAGTAACTACCCTTGCATGTCAGCCTGTAAAATCCTGACAGGGCAGCGTGGCCATTGCAGAGGTTATTCAAAACTGAGTGCAGCAAGGGGGAAGCTCCACGTACCACTTTGCCACATTTCATTTGATGTCAAATTGTTGTTTAGTTCTCCCCTGCAAGAGACTCCACCTCCTTTCAAAGTCCCCTTAAAACCTGCTGAGATTTTATCCCAGTGCAGCTCCTACCTCGTGCTTAATAGCTGCACAGGGAAAGAACAGCAAACGTCCCCAGTCCCACTGCAGGGGATTCAGACACCTGGTGCTTTAGAAAACTGCTGCCCTGACCAAGAATTTCTACTTGGATTGAAGTGTTTTTTGGCTTCCGTTTATGTTCTCTTGTCCCTAAAAGTAATCTAAAGGAAGATTGCTTGCTGCATCACTTGCTGCTGGCCTGGAAAACATCTTCCTTTCCCTTTTTTTTCTTCCTTTTTTAGAGGAAAAAGAAACTTGAAGAAGAGAGTTGTTCTTCAGGTTTTTTTTTTCTCTTCAAGCATAGGTTAAAATGCCAGGGAAGAAGGAGGAGGCCCTTGGCATCGCTCATCTCCTGCTGGAACTGCATTGCATCACTTGGAAAACAGGAGGAGAGGACATGAGGCAGCTCATCCCGACGTCCTTTTAACAGCACTTGGTTAAATGCGTGAAAATTCATACACCAGCATCCACTGCAAGGAAATGAGCAGATGCCAGAAGATTTTCTTCTACACTTGCAAGAAGTGAAAAGCCATGGGCGTGTTTTCCGTTTTTAACGCCAGCGGCGTTTCGCAGGCTGGCTCCCTGCAGGACGGCGGCAACTGGACAGCTGCAACCCAGTTCAGCCAGCCGGGCTGGAGGATTGCTCTGTGGGCCATCACCTACTCCTTCATCGTTGTCACATCCATCCTTGGCAATGCCACCATCATCTGGATTATTCTGGCTCACAGGAGGATGAGGACCGCGACCAATTACTTCATCGTGAACTTGGCCCTTTCGGACCTGCTGATGTCCGCTTTCAACACCATCTTCAATTTTATCTATGCCAGCCACAATGTCTGGTACTTTGGTGAGGAATTCTGCAGGTTTCAGAACTGGTTCCCCATCACTGCAGTGTTTGTGAGCATTTACTCCATGACAGCCGTGGCTGCAGAGAGGTAAGAGGTGAATGGAGAAGGTGAAGTCCAAAAAGATCCCCTGTAAGTCATGAAAAAAATCATTGCAATGGTTTGGCCCCCGCTCTGTCATGTGCCTTATCAGCAAAGTGTAAGGAGTGCCAGACTGTGGGGTTTGATGCTAATTATGGTGTGGTTTAATCCCTGGTCTGAATCACACCCAAATCTGTAATGAGTGGAAGTGGCTGGTATTTTTGTTGTTCCCACATTATTGATCATAAATTGTTTCCCAATCATCCTGAAAACTCTCATGTGGCTTTGTTGGGTTTTTTTTAAACCATGAGACGGATATATCCGGAAAAAGGAGAATATGCTGCAGGCTGCTGAAACTATCAGCAGCCCTAATCCTGCTGTGAGTCCAGCAAACCACCAGAAATAATGGGAATTAGATTAGGAATGGCAGAGTCTGCTCCTCTGGTTCATTAGAACTTGCTTATTCCGAGAGGGAGGGAAGTAATTACAGTGATTCCGTTTGACTTCTGGGGCAACTTGGTATTTTCATAAAATTCACTTCCAACTGCCAAGTCACTTTTACTTAAGCTTTAATTTCTGGAGTCTGACTGTGTTTACAGCTCATTGTTAAATAGCATGAAGCTGTTTTTCCTTTTCACTAGAAAGCGGCGAAAAGCCTGTGGGAGTATCCTCCCTTAAAGGCAATGCTGTGTGCAAGAAGCAGAGGAGGTTATTTTCCTTTCCTTTCCTTTCCTTTCCTTTCCTTTCCTTTCCTTTCCTTTCCTTTCCTTTCCTTTCCTTTCCTTTCCTTTCCTTTCCTTTCCTTCCCTTCCCTTCCCTTCCCTTCCCTTCCCTTCCCTTCCCTTCCCTTCCCTTCCCTTTCCCTTTCCCTTTCCCTTTCCCTTTCCCTTTCCTCCTTCCATCCTTCCTTCCCCTCTCCCTGCTGCAGCCTCAGGGTGAAGACTTCCCTGGGGCAGCCTGACCCGGCACCCAAAAACACCAGCACTCCTAAATCAAAGGAGTGAAATACCGGCACTCCTTTATCAAAGGAGTGAAACACCAGCACTCCTTTATCAAAGCCCTGCTGCTGACTTTGCAGTTTCCTTCAGTTCCCTGTATCCACAGGGGCTCTTGCAGCTCCCTCCCTCCGGAGCCATCCAAAGCGCCGTGCTGCCTGAGCCACGGGGGTCGCAGCTGGGATCAGCCCGGCACACCCAGCCTCAGGAAGCGATCACACACCAATCTCACCGCATGAACAGGCTGGGAGAGAGAAAAGGGCTTTTCTCACGTGGGATGCCGGCTGAAACCTGTGCAGGAGCTGGGGACAGGGCTGAGGGATGTGTTTGTCAGTCTGCAGTTGTCCAGATGAAAGCAAATCCCTATTTAGAATCAATGGCAGCGCAGTTTAGACTCAAATATTCTTTTGCTGCTCCTGGCTGTAAATCAAGGGTTGTTGTTAGCTGCTATTTTATACATTTGTCTGACAAAGAATGCTTTTTAAAAGCCGTTTCAGCCTGTTGTCATGTCTTCTTACTCATGCTCCTTAGGGATTTTTGGTGAAAGCACCTATATAGCCAAAATCTCTTTAGTTACATGGCACAGATCAGAAAGAGGACTTGGCACCTCGCTGCAAACCATATTTAGCTATTCTTTAGTTAGCCTTAAAATAGATCCTGACTGTCTCCTGGAAACTCGACGCTTCCATTTATTGTTAAGAGAACTTGTGTCCACTCCAGCTGCAGTGTTTAACTTCTATAAAAACATCATCTGAAGTGGTTTATTTTAAGCAAGGAGGCTGAGAAGTGATAGCTCTAAGTCACTTTTTTCTGGCATGGAAAAGCCCTGGTGATACTGCTCACTGTTGGGTCTAGGATCACTCCATCTCCCCATTCCCAGAGCAGCTGTTCCCACTGCAGCCCTGGAGGCAGAAATGAGCCTGATCGATCAGCTCGAGTTTCACACTCTGCTTAGCAAAGTCTCCTATGGCCTGCTTGGAAAGTGCACTAGAGGGTCCAAAATTCAGCTTGTTTTGTCTACACGCCTGAGGAGCAGAGGAAGATTGTAGTCCCAGCATCCTGGGATGTCACAGGGGCATTGAGAGAGGGCACAAGGAGCACGAGAGCACGGGGATAAAGGCTAAGCTGCCACACAGCAAGAGGGGCCAGGAGATCTCAGCAGGTTTGATAAATCTCCCAGCTTGCAGGAGCTCACCTAAAATCACAGCTTGCCTCAGGGGAAAGCCTGCACCCAGCCCTGTAACACCTTTGGTGTCTGCAGCACGGGCTGCAGTGACAGCACGGTGGCTGGCATCATTTATTCCCAGGACTTGCCATTCACTGAGGGCCACAGATCACCATTTCAGGCACTTCTGTGGGCAAACACTCTGGAGAATACCCACCAGGGGATTCCTCCCTGAGCAGACTCGAGCACTGTGTAACACTGCCTATGGCAAGCTAAAGAAAAGTGAGGTGACATGAAAATGTTAGAGCTAAATACGGCCCTGCTGCTGTGCAGCCCTGGATTGCTCCCTGTGCTGCCTGTCCTGCAGCAGCAGCTGGGCACAGCTCCCTACCAACAGCCTGGCTAAGAGACAGCACAATTTGTCAGATTTGTCCTATGAAAACCAGGAGGCAATGGGCATTTTCCACTCTATTTTGCCTTTGTTGCGACCATGACAAAGCACAGGGACAGCATGACAAGAAATGCATAATTGATTGTGTACTCGTTACAACACCGTGCATTTCCACACAGGGAACTTAAAACCAGAGGGCTCATGAGTGATCCAATAGTCAGATGTGCCTGAGGGCTCTGAGCAGGCGTGGATGAAAGGGTCAGCCCTTCCCTCCTCTGCAAGCACAAGAGGCAGCCACAGACAGAGGGAGACAGCAGGAGTTTTCCACAGCTAAAAATCAGTGGGGAAAAAATCAGGGTAAAGGATACTCAAGAGCCCAGTCTGCTCTTGTGCTAATATGAAGCATCAGAGATGGACATAATTAGGAAGAAAAAGCATACTTGGCTGGGCTTTTTTTGGTAAGGCACTTGCAAAAATAACTTCAATAAAAGAGGGAGAATACTTTTCACAAGGGCCTGGAGTGACAGGACGGGGCAATGGCTTCACACTGATGCAGTGAAGGGTTAGATGGGATATTGGGAAGAAATTCTTCCTCTGGCACAGGGTGCCTAGAGGAGTTGTGGCTGCCCCATCCCTGGAAGTATTCAAGGCCAAGTTGGACAGGGCTTGGAGCAACCTGGGATAGTGGAAGGTGTCCTGCCCATGGCTGGGGATTGGAACTTGGTAATCTTTAAGGTGCCTTCCAACCCCAAACCATTCTGGGATTCTATGAAAAATCCCATAAGGGGAATGCTTGCAAAGCCTGTATGCAGAGGATATAAAAGACTGCTTCCTCCTCACACCAGCAACATCCATCCACGTGGGTTTAATATATTCTGCCCTAAGACTTGCAATCATTCTCTCCAGAAAGGATTTAGTTCCTTATTATTTACAGCCTGGAACCTGTCAAAATGTCTGTATTAATAAAGCCCGCTCACTCCTGGTGAGTTTTTACACTTGCTGTGTCTGTTGTACAGACTGCCAATCTCACTGTAAAAGCTCTACACCTGTTTCTTGCAGGTACGTGGCCATCATTCACCCCTTCAAGCCCAGGCTGTCTGCTGGAAGCACCAGGGTCATCATTGGGATCATCTGGCTGGTGGCATTCGGGCTTGCCTTCCCGCAGTGCTTCTACGCCGAGATCACCGTGGACAACGGCACCATGAAATGCATCGTGGTCTGGCCTGATGATGTTGGATCCAAGCACCAGCTGGCGTAAGAGACGTGATAAAACTCCTAATTCAGGCTAAAGTTAGCCAGGAAAATAACTTCCAAACTGCTGGCTGTGGAGAGTGCTGGGAGAGAGAGCAGGAGAGTGTGGGGCTGGGGCAGCCCATCCAAACTCAATTTGAGCCAGATGTGGAAAAAGCTGCCAGGTGATCGTGGTTCAGGGCAATCCTGAACCTGCCCTCCACCCCTGCTTTGAAAGCTGGTTATAACGTCCAGAAACCCTACATACAGCACTTGGGGAATTTAAGGGAAACCAGTTCAAAAAGTCTCTAAACAATCAGTAAATCCTGGTTTCAAAGGCTCTGGATTTTCTTCCTCCATCGGGCAGGAGGAAACTGGGTATCTTTAATGCTGAGAAGCCACGTAATTAGTTAAAAATTATGCTGCCCTCTGTGGGAGTAAAAGGAAAATAAAACCAGAGAGCAGCATGTTTCAAACATCCTAGGGTTTTATAGACATATTTATCTGGGCACACATCTGCGCTCCTGAAGGTTCCTGAGCCTCACAGTGATTTCCTCCTGCTTGAAAGCAAGATTGTTCAAACAGATTAAGCAGGCCATACCCTGCATTCAGGGGATCTGCTGGGATTACTCATCATGCAAAGCACACCATGAACCTTTGAGAAATTTATCAAACAAAACATATTTATATAAAAGTAGCAATGGAAGAAATGAGGAAAAGGAACAGATCAATTAACAAAGTGCAATTTTTCAAACCAAAACCCACTGTGAAGGCTCCATGCACGTGAGACATTTTCCCTGCTCAGTCTTCATCTCTGGCAGGCAGCTGGATGCCTCCTCAACTCAGCTATTACCAAACTAACTGATTTTCACACTAATATGTGCCAAGTTCCACGACCTTTGTGTCATTTTGGGCAAGCTGCAGCATGTGCAGACAGTGGTTGCCAGTTGTTCCCAGTTTGAGCAGGCTCAAACTTCTCATGCTGGGTGATGCTCCTCCTCCTGGAGGCTCCTTTTTGGTACCCTCTGGTACTTTTTGGGGAGCAGTGTGCCAGGCTCCTGTGGATAGAGGAGGAGGGAGAATAGATAACCACTAATACATGAGTCACTGGTGACTATTCCATCCAGATGAAGAGCATGAGGTTTATCTTTCCCACATCCATGGCATGGAAAGGATTCAGATGAGTTCCCCAGCATGCTGACAAAGCCCCTGTGGGCTGGAAAGGCTGGTCCTGAACGTGGCAAGTAGCAGGGCAGGTCCTTTCTGGGATCTTCAGCTGAAGAGCAGCAGCTCTTGACCACAATCCATCACTCACCAGCTCTCCCTCCCTGAACAGCCTCAGCTCTGCAGGTTTTGCTATCTCTCTTAGAAAGGAAGTGGGAAACATTGCTCCCCAGAAACCTTACTGAGTGATGGGTTTGTTGGGACAGATGCCTGCAGCACAGACCATGGAGAAAAAGCCTTGTGCAGCCATTCATATACTAGTCCAAATAACAAGGAAAAGAAATACTAAGGAACCCAAAGAAAAACAACAAAAAAATGGAGAGCTGGGTTCCTGTGTTGACTGTGTGTCCTCTGAATGCACTTTGTTAATGGATTTGTGTGTCCTCTGTGAGACTGCAACCCTCTGCTAAAAGATCAATGATGTTCCTCTGTCTTGAAGGAGCAGGGAATCCAGCCCAAGGACCCCTTATCACACCAGCAGAGAGATGAGATTTTGCTGCTTACAGAAGTCCCTGTAACATTAAAAGCCATGTGTAGCCATTCACATACTAGTCCAAATAACAAGGAAAAGAAATACTAAGAAACCCAAAGAAAAACAACAAAAAAAATTGAGAGCTGGGTTCCTGTGTTGACTGTGTGTCCTCTGAATCCTTTGCAGTTGAATAAACCCATCTTTCAAGATTTCTAGACTTCAGAACATAGGAAAATCCTTTTCTGCAGGAAAGATGTGTGTAATTATGACAGAAGGAAGTAAAAAAATAAAAATCACAATAATATTAAAAACCCCAAACAATGCACTACTGACTGCCAGTGCCTGAAAAATACTGGCTATAAAGGATATAGAAGTTTAACCAGAGTAAAGAACCTTAACCACAGAGGATTTTTCTTCTGGTGACAGGTTAACTTTGCAGCAAAGTAGCAAAGCTACAAGACTAAAAGTTTCTTTTTACATATGCTCAAACTCAGGCTCCCATCCTCCCTTGGATGGGAACCCTAAAAGGGCTTTGCTGCACTCCACACACAGCATTAGACCTACAAAAGAGGAACTGCTCTGAGCACAGTAGGAAAAAGTGGAAGACAGACAGGGACAAACATGCCACATCTCGCAAATATAATATTTTTCTTTATGCAGCCACCAGTCTGGTATTTGCAGCCACCCCAAGGAACAAACACCACTCCAGGCCCCAGCACCCATTCAACAGCAAAGCACTCATGTGAGGAGTAACCCTAGAGCCTTGTCAGACTGAGAAAGACCATTTGCACCCCCCAGCATTTTGGGGTCACTGCCAGCAGTGTGTGCCGGAGCCCTCCTGCCTAATCCTACTTTTCACTCTGTTTATGTTCATTTGACAGCTGCTGCAAGGGACTGAGCAGGTTGTTCCCTTCCCATAAATGGTGATTGCTTAAACTAATCAGCCCCCAGCACGAGGGAACCAGCAGAAGTTTGTGGGGTGACATGGAAAGCTAGAAAGGGCTGAGGTTAAAATGCAGCTAAGGGAATGGATGCCAGTGCTTTCAGCTGGAGCTGTGACTGAGTGGCCTGTTGGTGGTACATTAACTGTGTGTGCTCACACAAATAAAAACAGCCAGCTACACAAATACAGGCAACATCCCTTCCTCACTGGCTGCATCTTTGTGCACCCTGTTAGCAGCCAGATGCCTTTCACAGTCCCTGATCTGGCTTCTTTCCACTGTTGCCACTGCTGCATTCATCACGTTACTCTATAGTTTCTGGACTATTCCTTTCCCATACCTGTGATTTAAGGACTTGTACTTTTACCACCCTCTCTCTCTCTCCTCCTGGCAGCAGGGGAATAGCAAAGCTCAGTGCACGTGGCCCTGGACTGCAACCCTCTGCTGAAAGAGCAGTGGTGTTACTCTGTCTTGAAAGAGCAGGGAATCCAGCCCAAGGATCCCCCATCACACCACAAGAGAGATGAGATTTTGCTGTTTACAGAAGTCCCTGTAACAAAAATTATAGGCAAAGTTTCTTCGTGGTTTCACTAATAGGAGCCAGCATACATATCCAAAAGACAGTTTGTGAAAGAGCTCTCCAAGAGCCATACTGACTGTGAAAAACTGCCTCTTCTTCTCTTTCAGGTACCACATTGCCGTGATTGTGTTGATTTATTTGCTGCCTTTAATGGTGATGTTTGTTGCATACAGCATTATAGGAGTTACTCTGTGGAGCAGCACGGCTCCAGACAACCACCTGAACAGAGTCCACTACCAACACCAAGTTAATGCCAAAAAAAAGGTCAGAAGTGAAACTTAAGTATCATCACCCCCAGCACACCAGCCCTGCTGGCTTCAGTTCCAAAATGGAGCTGGTGTTCCATACAAAATCTTGTGGGATTGGGCTTGAAAGGTTAACAAAATATTTCGTGTCTGGGGTAAAGGGCATCAGCCTGCAAGTTTGAAAAAAATGGTGATTGCGTGCACCAGCCAGCCTTCAAGGAAGAAAGGCTCACAGCAGCAGGCTGGCTGCCAGCAGCCCTTAGAGACTGAAGAGAATCCACACAGAATAAACCAGGCTGAAACTCTGGACAGGGTGGAGCAGTCTCAGTGTAAGAGCAGCAATCTCCTTTCCCTGCACAGCTCCCTGCTGCAGCTACAAGCAGCTCCTCTGCAGAGTCCACTCAGTGCTCTGGGAAAGGTTTGCTTTAACCCCCGCCCTGTTCCCATCACCAGGGCACTCCCTCCCTGTCCCAGTTTCCATGGCCAGGGCACTCCCTCTCTGTTCCCAGTTCACCAGGGTTGGTTTCTTTGCCACTGCAGTGCAGGTCTACATTCCATACTCTGCACTTTGGGAGGGCAAACCAGGCTCAAAGTGACACCAGCACTTCCCACTGCCCCAACAAGCCCAATTGCCCAGAGCCCAGGAATAACCCCTTGGTTTTGGTTTCCTAGTTTGTGAAGACGATGGTGGTAGTGGTGATCATTTTTGCTGTCTGCTGGCTGCCCTATCACATATACTTCATCCTGGGGAGCTTCAAGGAAGACATCTACCAGCAGAAGTACATCCAGCAGGTGTACCTCGCAGTCTTCCTCCTCGCCATGAGCTCAACAATGTACAACCCCATCATCTACTGCTGCCTGAACCAGAGGTGAGGTAGTGTGAGCACGTGTGCAAAGAGAAAACTAAAATCTCAGCCTGAAAAAAGCACAAATCTCTGGAGGTGAGAACAGCTATGATTTTCAACTGCAGCCCTTAGGTCAACGAGACAACTTAACTTACCCTGTGCTGATAATGGGACGCACTCTGAGCTCTTAACCCGGCCCGTGGCATCTTCTGTCTCTGAATAAAGCACGGGCAGCAGGCACAGGAGCAGCACAGCCACACTTGCACCCATTTCCACATGCAGAGCATCCTGTTCCCAAGGGAGGGATCCGTAATCCCTGCACTGCTGAGCTAATGCTGGGCTGGCTCAGCCACCTGCCCTTCCCAGGCCCCCCCAGCACAATCCTGGGCTCACCCCCAGGGGTGGGAAGCGGGAGCAGCCCCCGGGTGCCCGTGAAGGTGCCATGGGGACGTGTCACAGCGAGGGAGCAGCCGGGGGAGCGCATCCCCAGCGTGCCAAGAGATGTCCCTCTTGCTCTGTGCGATGCAGAGCGCAGGGAGCTAGCTGCTCCGGCTGCCCGCGGATCTATCCGTGCCAAAATCCCGCACCCTTCACCCCCCCAGCCCTCTTCAGGCTCGCTGCGAGCTTCAAAGGTGACAAATGGTTACCAGCACGCGTCCTGGGCAGTTTCACTGGGACTGCAGCAGCCCAGAGCGATGCTGCGAGGCTTGCATTTCAAACACCATCCTGCTGGGAGCTGGCAAAAGAAGTCCATTCACCCAAACTGTATTTAACATGAAGTACACAAGCATGTCCTCCCCCTCCCCTCTCAGAAAGCAGACAGCTTCCTCATTTAGTTATTCATAGTTTTTTGGGTTTTTTAAAGCTCGCACTGAGTAAACTCATGTATTTTCCTCAGATTTTCTGTCTCACAAATGCAGTCACCAGCATGGCCAGCACACCAAACTCCCTGCCATTTCACCGATCATGTATGTTTACTTAAAATACTTAAATCAGGAAATCTGATCAGGAACTCCTAGTGCACCTCCCTCCATGGTTTCATGCATTTAGCTTTTCACCTCATTCCTTTGATTTCAGTAGGAATATTTATTTCCATAGTCATTCACAGGTAGAACCAAGTCATGAGTTTGTTCATTCTCTGCACAATTAGGAAGATCATTTCACCATTTCATTGCTTTTCTCACTTTCACAGGTTTCGCTCTGGATTCAAGCTAGCCTTCCGGTGGTGTCCCTGCATAAAAGCAACAGAAAAAGACAAACTTAAACTTATGTCCCCATCCCTCTACCAGACAACCCACAGGAAGTCAAGAACAACAAGTTTCAACACAGAAACTCAGCTGAATGAGAAAGAGAAGACATCATTTACCCTCACCCAATTAACACTTTGATTGCCTGCTCCTGGTTCTGGCTCCATGCCCATACACCATGCCAAGGCAGCAGATCTGAAGAAGCCTGAAAAGCAGGTCTTTTTCTCTGGAGCAACTGTTTCCTACAGGACTTCCTTAGATGCCATCAGCATTGAAGGCAGTGTGTTGATGACACTTATATCCATGTAGGTCCAAGCTACAGATACGAGTTTAGCCCTCCCTTACATCAACAACTGCAATACAGAACAGACATCAGGCCCAGGAGGTCAAGAAATCAGCAAAGCAGATCTGAGGCAGTGCCAGTCAGGAGAATATAAATGATTCCCTTCTACATTGTGATCTCCTGATTTCTGTTCCATCAAGACATTTGAATTCAGGAAAGAGGCAATGGAGCAGAAAGGCTGGGGCTCAGCTGGGATGATCCCCAGGGCTGTGTGGGCAGCCCAGTCCCAGGGCTCAGCAGCCCCAAGGCACTGTGGACCAAAGCCTGCTTACAATAAAGGCAAATACTAACACATCCTGACTGAAAAATCCAGCCTGCCCTCAAAATTTTCTGCATTCTGGGATTTTTATGCCTGCAATTTCACCAGCAGAAACAGTTCCTTTAGATGTTGTCATTGCACGGATTTCTATAACCTTGTCCCAAAATATGATGTTGGTTTCCTATTAAACCATGCTCAAGTGATTTCCCCTTCACATTAACTGTGGTGCCTAATTTGGAGAGCAAGGCTCTCAGAAGAGTCAGTAGCCAGGGATGGCCACTGGCTTGGTCAGGGCTCATGGATCCAATCAGAATCCACCTTCTTTACTTCCTTTTAGTCCTAACAGCAGTGGTCCATCGCTGTCTTTTCCCAGATAGTCCCTTCACCTTCCCTTTCCAGACTTACCCCATACTTATCCTCACTGCTCTTCCCAGATATGAAAATAAAAGCTAGAATATGTCATCTTCCCAGCCTGAGGCATTATGTACAGGCACACAACCCAGGAGAAGCTGAAATACAAACATTATGCAAAAGTAATACAGCATTTAATAATGGTGTGATAAGTAGCACCTCACAATCACCTTCACCTCTCGTGACAGGTTTGCAAATAGTATCACAGAGCCATACCTTATCAATTAAAAAGCTCCTGTGATGTTGACAAGATCCAGTTATTTGAAATATTCTCCTTTGCTCTGTGAAAGCCAAACTACAAAGTGCTGCCAGGTTTAAATTCTGCAGTAAATCCAGAGAAAAAGTTCATGGCTTGAACTGAAAGAGTACTCAGGGATACGATTTTGCCAAGCCTGTTCCAATACAGGAACGAGATATATGTTCTTCACTTCTCCACCTCCCTGGCTCTGTGGAGAACAATTATGTTACGCAACAAACTTGTCCCACTATTGGCACAACAGACCCCAGGCCCCTCTGCAAAAGTTCACGACTTTAACTCATTCCAGCAGACAATTTCTAGTCCAGATGTCACCTGGCCAGCCCTCTCCCCAGGCCAGCCTGCTGGGCATTTACAGACAGCCACCACCAAGTCACTCTGCCAAAGGGATGGAAAACCCTTTGGGAGGGATGCTCTGCCAGGCACACATCGCTGGGACCTGGCAGAGACTCCTGCTCTGAGGAAGTGAAGGACACCTACTCACAGAGCTCAGTATTTGATATACATGAGCTGTACTCCCCCTGCCCAGCTGCTGAGTCTAAGGCCTTTAAACTCTGCAGCTTTCTGATGCAGAGCTTTTTAGATTAAACAGGCCTATCTTGAGCATCCCACCTTCCCCCTCCCTCTTCCATCACACCTGAACATCCAGCCAGAGTCTATTCCAGATGCCCCAGAGTGCTGCCAGTGCAGTCCCTGACTGGCACTGATGTTTTCTGACAGCTCAAGGCATCTCTTTCTCTTGCTGGGAGCAGAAAACAGAGGATGATTTCTTCACGTTGCAAAAGGAATTCTCTGTGCCCTGGTGGACTCAAGGTGCAGATCCTGAGGTTTTATCCCATAGAAACAGCAACAGTTAAGGAAGCAGAGATGCCCCAAGCCCTTGTTACACAGCAGGCTATGTTATTCCTGTGATACATGAGGCAACAGGAACACCATGCCCCATGGTAAGTACATGCAATTCTCCATTAATAAATATAGACAGGATTAAATACCACACAGCAGTAAAGACATCCAGGTCAGCAATAAATCCCTCTCCTGCATGTTCACTTGTGCTCTAAGTAGCAAAGCAGTCCCAGCAGTCAGTAAAGAAAAACACTTGAAGAATCTCATTTTTATGGCAAAGGAATGAACAAAAAGCACAGAACGGGGTTCAAAAGTTCAGAAACACTTTATTTTGCCTTCTGCTATTTTCTTAAGAAAACAAAACAAAACAAGGTCTGCTTGTTTTAAAACCCATTCAAAAGGCTTCTGAGAGAACCCCAGAGGAGTAAGGAGCAGATGACATTACAACAGTGGTATGCAAATGGTCTTTTCCCCAGGAAATATAAGATTTTTGTGTTCATATTGCAGTAGTTACAGCTCAACAGTTAAGAGGACTGTGATTTTATTCACCAAGCCTAAAAGCTTTAAGAAAGACACCTCAGTCATTGCTTGGGTAACATTGGAGACATTTCTTCAGACAGTTATAGCTTGTGATTCACTTGGAACAGTTTCCTAGGGGTAAGAAGTAGTCTGGAAATGGAAATCCCACCATGTCTCCCTTTGGAAAAGAACTGCCGTGTCTTACCAAGTACATCAACTATGGTCCACGGTAGGAAAAGTTAGAAACACAAACTCAGTCCCTATTTGTTATGAGCTGGATCCAATAAACAAAACGACCTATGCCAGCATCTCCAAAATCCACAGTCACCCTGAGACCAAGTTTAACTTCCACTTCTCCTTCACCCTCTATCCTGCACCGAGCCTGGCCCTCAGGTGCCGAAGAGCTCCAAACCCAGGTCCCCAGGCACGGTTCACACCACCCCTACAGCACTGCTGACGGCAGGCACAAGATTTGCAAACCTTCAAGCAATTCAAATGCAACGCGTCCCCCTGTGCCCAAAAAAGTTTCTCACCTTCTTCTGTCTCCTGTTTGGGGTCATAGCTGCACATCAAGGCTGTCAGAGACTATTCAAGCTGTAACATAAAACGTGTTATTGGAGAAGCACAGCTTTAGTGTATGCAAAAGGGGCTTCCATCTACCACAGCTCCAACACAGGCTGTGCCAGCCAGTGCTGCAGGAGCACCTGACACCGGGGCTGAGCCGACATTAACCCTACGCACACGGACACGCCATGTCCATCACCAACCTAATGAAACCACACCGCCCTTGGTGCGGCACCCCGAGGTCCTCCTGCACCACAGATCCCCCTGCACAAGACAGGGCAGGAGGGGCACCTAGACAAGCCACACGGCCCCGAAGATTTGGGCGCTGTCAGCGCTGTGCCTCTGCTGAACTACGTTAGGAAACACGAGGCACGGGGACCTGTGTGAATCTGACCCCGAATGCCCGGGAATAAAAACACACACACAAAACGCAGGCACCACTGGGATTAGGTTGCAGCTCTCCCTACACAATAGCTCTTCCCAAAGCACTAAGCCACCAGCCAACAGCACCTCTTCCAGAAAGAACCACTAAACACCAGTTAACGCACATCAAAAAAGTTTAATATTTTCACAAGTATCACGTAACACTAGTACCGGAGCTACTAGTGTGCAAACTAAAAAGACCCTCTACCTTTGCAAAACCAGTTAGGCATGCAATTCTTCAGGTAGACACACACTTAAAGCTGCAATGACTGTGACTTACAGGTTACTTTACAACATTCACTCACAGTGCACCATAATGCATATTGAAATGTTATCGATAGGTAGGGCAATCCAAATCTTAGGGAGTGGAACGAGAGCAGAGAAGAGCAGCCTGCAAATTTCCATCTACTTTCTGCAGGAAAAGGCAGCAGGGAAAACCATGCGGACATCTGAAATTCATTTTTGGTAGAAGAGTGGGAATTAAGGACTACTGTGTGGTCTCCCTCTTTGCAGAAAGTGGCGTGACTTACAAATATAACTGGACACGTGCCTTCCTAACTGCTTCTCAATTTAAGTGATGCAACTGGTATGCAAATATAATAATGGCATTGACTGGACAGAGGACAGGGTACACCACATGTAAATGATCTGCTGTTGCCTTCGTCCTTGGAATAAGCTGCACCCAATTTTGGCTTTTTGGGTTGTTTACGCACATGGGTCCTCAAAGGCAAGATCAAAACACAACCTTCCTCTTCCTTTCTGCGCACTAACTCTGGCTGGGTGTCTGTGTTCTGAGTGGCTGCTGGACAGCATTAAAGATTAAAGCTCTGTGTGGAAGCAAATACCCATTTAAGGCGAGAGACGGAAGTAGGCGCATCCGGGGCACGCGGCTGAGCTGCAGGTTTGGTGGAAGGGCAGCTGCAGTGCCCTGACCTAGACTAACGAGAAGAGACAGGAAGTATTTTCTATAAGAACCCTTCGACAGAAGAACACAGCACAGCCATGTAGGGAGCACAGATCTACCGATTTGGCAGGTCTGGAGATTTGGATTACCCCAGTCACCAACCGCTCTTTAGGGTTTTCTCGCCGAAACGTGACGGATTTCTCTCAGTAACACAACACTATTCACAGAAGCAATGGGGAATACCAGTGGAACCAGATCTGTGGGACAAGGGTGTCTACGTTCACCATGACAGGAGGCATCAAGGAAGCGAGTAAGTCGCGGTGTCACGTCCCACTACAGAGTTACGTGCGTGCACAGTGCTGACACACCAAAATGTTTTCACAACTGCTTGAGACGAAACAACAGCAGGTAGATAATGCAGGAGGGAACTGTTGCTTCCCCTTCACTTAAAAGCATCAACACCCAGGTCTGGTGGTCAGCGTGCTGGCAGTGTGCTTAACAGGGATGCTGCAAAGAACACGTTTGGTACGATGCAACGGGAGCTCTCAACGCACATCACTTGGGGGCAATTTCGTTTCAGACAACAACTGATTTTTGACAACTGCAGAAATTATAGACTGGGTTTTTTTCCATGACCTACAGCTGGGGAAGGTACCAACGAGGTGAGTAAGAAACATGCAGATTGGGGTCCAGAAACAGGAGATATTATTAAGAGCACACATTCTATCTTGTATCCTATTTTTTTATGTCATTAGTTGTAATTCTTTTTTTCCCCCAACAAAGCAGTGAGTTCTGAGTTTTTTACCAGTTCTGACTACGCAGTCACTGCTTTATGAGAAACACAAGACAGAATTGAGGCCAGGATTGTGGAGTTCAGTTCTGCTCAGCCTCACGAAGCCTGCATCCCACCGCTGTGATGAGCGCTGCCCCTTTCCCACTGCCGTCCTCTGACAGCAGGAAGGTCACGTCGCAGTTGGGTGCCAGATCTTTGACTGTTTGGTGCATGATCCTCGAGAAGCTGTGAAAGCAAACAAGGGCAGTGTGTAAGGAAGGTCCTGCAGCAACTGTGGAGCACTGCCACAGGCATTTGCACTGTGTTGCCTTTCATCAGGCTAAGAGGTAAAATGTTGGAAACCGGGGTGGATTTGAAGCCTGGGAGCAGTAGGAGTTACAGGAAAAAAGCACTTGCATCCTATCCCAGCCCTGCCTGTCTGTGTGAGGTTAACTGAGATCACTAATCCACAGCAAAGGGAAAAGAACAGACCACATAAGTCCTCTCCTTCCCACCCATCTCCCTCCATGCACACTAGAGGTGGGCACTAGTTCTCTTCTCCTCCTTTCCCCAGCTCTTTTAGACTCCTGCCCTCACCTGCATTGTTCTGCAGCAACTCCTCTCCACTGGACACTGAACAGAAACATGCTCCAAAGAGGCACCAGACATTTCAGCACTGCTCTGTCATTGCCTGTCCAGAGCCAAGAGATCCTTCCCTTGCTATACAGCTTCCAACTCACTAAGCAAGCTGTGTCCCCTTCAGTTTGTCACCACCCCAAGAATCTTTCACAAGTCATTCCTGATCCTCTCATTGCCCTTCAGAAAGCCCTGAGCCCCCTAATAAAGACATTTTTTCCCCTAGCTCTTATCCCAGCAAGTGAGAGAGTCCAGCTGGGAGCATCAGGAGGAAGGACGTACACACAAGGCACAAACAAAAGCTGAGAAGGCAAACACTCACTGCGGGTGGAGTTTGTAGAGAGTTCCATCCACACCAACCGTTATCTCCAGGCGCTCTAACCCTCTGTTCTCCCTAATTTTATCTACAATGGCAGCCATTCCAGCACCACAGAGCTGGGCTGCTCGCCTCGACACCGCCCCGCAGACTGTCTTGACAATGATGCTGTCGTCGCAGGTGCTGTTGAGCCCCAGCTGCTGGAGGATGGTTCGCACCTGCAGCAAGGCTAACCTGTCACTGTGGGAGGAGAACACCGTGTTACAGGTTACCCTCAGTCAAGCCATAAACCCCACTGCACTGATGGTGCACCCACCCCAGGCAGCAGCCTCTCCTGACAGCACCAGTGACCCCAGGGAATGCAAATTCAGTCACCCCTGCACTGTGCTGCAGTGCAGGAGAGGGGTGCAAGCAGCAACAGAGGCTCCAAGTCCAGCTCTGCACTGCCTCCCTTTCTCTTTTCTTACCATGGGGCATTCCAGGAAAATATTTTTAACCATGACCTTGGGGTTTTTCCCCTGCCGTGAAGCCTCAGAGATTGTTTTAAAATACAGAGTCCGAGCAATAAAAGCACAAAAGCACCCAGTAAGCAGTGCTCACTCAGCTAGTGCTCATTCAATTGCACAACTGCAGCTAAACACACACAAGAGGCCCAGGAAAATGGCTTGATTTCCAAACAAGGAAATAAAATGATAGAGTGAGGGAATCCTTGACAGCCTTTCCCAGGGTTTAGAAGTGAGCATTGCTAGAAATTCAGTTGATATTGTAAAGAATCCTCCTGCACACACACAGGCTGAAACCCAAATTCTCTCCAGAGAAGCAACGCTCCCCAGCTGTCCCTCCCATCCAGCAGTGTCACCAGATGAACACTACTACACTATGTCACTCTAAGCAGCCTCCC